AGAATATTAATTTTGGTTCTATTTACAGAACACTTTATTATTTTTTATATTCATTTTTATCTTTCTTCCCTTATTAAATGCTAAGAAAATTTATTTAAAATAATTTTTTTTGGTCTTTATTAGGAGGTAGAAGTAAGAAATTATTAAATTTTAAACAAGTTAATGAGATAGAAAGTTTTTTTTTTTTTATTCACATGCTGAAAGTAATTTATAAATATAACCAAATGGGGTCTCTAAATTTGCTTTTATCTACTAAAAGTCTAAATTCACTAGGCCCTACTTTAAAATTTACCTGTTTTAAAATTACTTATTGAAATTACTTTGGACAAAAGATTTTGGCGAACCTTAAAGATCAAGTCGCTTATCAAAAAATTAAAAATAAAAAAAATCTTGACAATTTATTTTAAAAATTTTAATTATTTATATTTTCGAGTTCTTTCTATTAGGGGTGAGTATTTTACCCGCATACCTACCCATGCCCACCCAACTTGTTGCTAAATGAATCAACCCATACCCATAACCCATACCCGATACCGTAAAATGAAGGAGGAAAAAGGGGTACAGGTTGGTACATACCTATTTGGCCAAAAATGGGCAGATAACAGATAAGGCCTTGGGTGGCCTGTACTTACCCATATATATTTATTTTTTTAAAATTTTTTTGGCCATTTTCTTTTTAATTAGAACCCCCAACCCCGTCACCACTCAGTCACTCACCAGTCTCACCATGTGTCCCTATCACCCGAGCCCTAACTTCATCAATTCATTAGATTTGATCTTCTCCTTCACCGTTCAAGCTTCGAGTTGAGGGAAACTTCACCCATTCACCTCGCCTTCAGCCCATACCCATACAACTTTCAGAGTTTAGTCTCGCCCTTGCCTTCGCTAACCGTAGTCGCACGATGGTGAGGCACAGTCACACTTCACCCAGCCAAGTAGAACACAGTCACACAATGATGACACAGGATGCAAAGCATAGACTCAGCTCGAGACTATAGTCGCACTTGCACTCTCGCACTTCAGCGTCCCTCTTCTTGCTTCTTCTCAGCATCTCCTCCCTCCACTTGTATCATCGGCCTTCCTTCCGTAGTTAGTATTTGTTGCTCGATTGCTCCCTCCCTTCCTCTTCTATTCTTTTGAATCCCTGAATGGTGAAATCCCACTTCTTGAATCTATGATTTTGTGATTTTAAAGGAATAAAATATTTGTAATTTTGTGGTATGCACTGTGTATAGTCAATAACACCATAACCGTGGCGACTAGAATTTGCTGGACATATGAATTGATACAGTTGGATGTGTTGATGCGACCACAATGATGATAGTTCATTTATTTTAGATTGAGTTTGTTGGACATATGAATGTGTAAGTGATGTAGGTTAAACGAGTAGCCCATACTCACTTTCACTCGATTTAAAACAGATGCAAGCGAGTACATGTGGATGACCACTCATTTAACAAAAACACAGGTGAGTAATGAGTAAGGCTACAAGTGGCTTATACTCACCTATGAGAAGCCCTGCTTTTTATTTAGTTTCCAATTGGGGTTACTTGAGTAGTTTAGTTTTTTCCATAGTATTAACTATTTAAAAGAACCCTTTTTATAAAAGGTGACTTCTAAGTATTATCCTTTACTTTGTTGTAAATGTTTGGCATAAAACCTATTACTTTGATAGCGATTAAAGTTGTTTTAGTTTTAGAAAAAGAAAAAAAACCATATTAGCTCCTCGGATTAACGTTGCGTAGAAGTCACTTCAATCACAGATTGTAAGGCGGTCAAACTTGACTTATTATTATTATTATTATTATTATTAGAAAAAATTAATCTTTTAATCCTCCAACTTTTAATTTACTTGCAACTCAGTCCCTCAACTATGACTCGCCTATGACTCAGTCCTTCAATTTTTGAATCACTTACAAATTAGTCCCTAAACTTTTGTTAATTTTTTTTCATGTTAGATTATATCTCACATCAATGAGTAAGAGAAGGGTATTTTAGAATGATATATGAACATTTTTTATCCCTCTTATTTGATAAGAATTTAAAAAAAAATTAAAAAATAAGGACTGAATTATAGGTGAATCAAAAGTTGAAGGATTGAGTCGCAACGAGTTATAATTAAGGAATTAAGTCACAGCGAGTCATAATTGAGGGACTGAGTTACAAGTGAGTTAAAAGTTGAAGGATTAAAGGATTAATTTTTTCTTATTATTATTATTATTATTATTATTATTATTGGAGGTTGACGCAGAAGAAACAAAGATTTCTTTCATCAAATAAGAATTAGAAGGAATTTCTATGTAATTCGGTAATTCGATTAACCTAAATTTCAGTTTAGCTGATCAGCTATGATGATGAATCACCTTTGACCACTTCAATCAAAGTTGAATCAAGAGAGAATGGCAATTAAATTTTAAAGTTTTGAATTAATAACAGTTAAATTTTTTTATAATTTTTTTAAAAAATAAGTTATAAATATTAATTTAAATAAATGTAATTTTCTTAAATAAGTACGTAAATTGACTCACAAAATTGATGGTTAATTAATTAGGTTACATGGACGTTGGTAAAAACCAAAAAAAAAACAAAACAAAACAAAATTTTTGGTTGACATGGACTAGGCCCTAGTTCCAGATAGCCAGATAGAGGACTTTGTCAATTCACTTTTCATCTCTTTTAAATCTCAAAAAATTTGAAGTTACAGTGGGTTTTGGCATATACTGATAGATTTTATTACTCCTCAGAAAAAAAATTAGTCTTATTTAAAAGACATTTTTCAATTTTTAATATCTTTTTTATATTATTGACCTTATTAAATGTTTTAAATAAAAATATAAATAATAAGATTTAAAAATATTTATTAAAAATAAATGTAAAAATTTATTAAATTTTAAGATAAAATTAATAAAATTTAAAATTTTTTTTATTTTAATAAAATATATTGAAAGTAACTTATAAATAAAATTAAAATAAATATCATTTGAATGGCATGCTATATCATTTAAATGGTATGTCATATCCATTACAAGTCATCCAATGAAAAATCTTAAGCACCGACAGGCCCAAAACATAGCCGAATGGCACGTCTATCTCTGAACATTGTTTTTTTTTTTTTTTCTTTGGAACGACAATGAATACTTACCCGACCCTCTTTATAAATTATTTCTATCAATCTCATAAATATTAATATAAAAAAATAAAAGAAATAAATTTATATAAAGTTTTAAATTGTCTCTATATAATAAATTTAAAAAGTGATGTCATATTATTTTTTTTATTATAAAATGTAATTTTAAAAAGAATTAAATAAGTTTTTTTGAATGTGCCTTATAAATGAAACGGGGGAGTACTTTACTAACATAGAAGAGAACAATTCTACACTACATATCCAGATCCCAAAGTATTACTACATGCTCCTACAGAATACGCTTTTATCTAGTTTTTGTATTTTTTTTTTTTAAGGTATGTCTTCCTTTTAAATATTGAATAGCCCTGTGCAATGTTAGATTTCAATATTATTAAGATAAGATTACGTTGCACTGAAATAAATTCATATGGATTCAATTAACATTCATGTCTGAGTTTATATATAGTTTTTTCAGTATATATTTTTTTCACAATTACATGTTGTATTTACTAGTTACACAATCTATAGAATAATCACATTACTTATGACTCATACACAGAGTAATTTAATTAATTTATTATTATTTTAATATTTTATATTAATTAAAATTTGATTCTCATAACTGATTAGTTTTTAAGTCTTCCCAGAGTTCCAGGCAATGTGGAAACGTTTTGCGGCCTAAGACAAAATTATTTAAGAGACCTAATGGCTAATGTATTGTAATTTATCTACCTTTATATGAATTTTCTAGTCTTTTGAGCTACAAAATCAGATAAAATTTTGTAATCAAGTATATAAATTTCCTCTAACAGTGCTTAGGTGATATTTTCTCTTTAAATTAATTAATTAGTAATATTTCTTCCATTCTAGTTTAATTTATTAATATAATCTTAGTTGTAAACATTAAAAAGAGAAAATATAAGATAGAGTGATGGGTAATATTAAAATTAATAAAATTTAATGATTGTCAAAGTATCTTATATTTTGAAATATCAAATCACCTTCAAAAGTGTTTTGTAAACTATGATGGAGGAAGTGTTAAATTACACGATTATCAATTATTCGGTTATCAACTATCCTTCAATAAATTAAAGAAAATATGACAATAAAATTTCTTTAAATTATATGAATGAAATTTTAATCTCTCAAAATGCAATAATTCTCCTAAAGTCCTTAGAGACTTTTTTGTCATTAAGGAATTAATATAAATGACCAAATTACCCTTAGTTTAGGATTCCAAATGTGAACTTGTGAATTGCTATTGCATTTCTGTTATTTTAAGAAAAAAAAAGTTGTGAATCTTAAAACAAAACTTATAAATGGCAATTGATATTTGTAACACTTGAAAGATATTAGGATTTCAAATATAAATTTGTGAATTGGTGTTGAATTCTTGTCATTTTAAGAAGAAAAGTTGTGAATCTTAAAACAAAACTTGTGAATGGTAATTGATATTTGAACTAAACGTAATATGGTTATTTTTATTAATTTCTTAATGACAAAAAAGTCCCTAAGAACTTCATTAGTATTATGACATTTTGAGAGACCAAATTATCATTTACATAATTCAAATTAAATACTTATCATTTAAAGACTTATTTGTTTCGAGCATGCTCATGAACAAAGCTATAGTAACTGATCGTACAGACCAAAAAGCTATGCAATGACCTAACAAAGTGTAGAGAACCTACTAAAGAACATAGAGTGTAATGACGCCCATATTATAGATGAACGATACATATACATATAATAATAACATGGAAGCAGTAATGTCGTTTACTTAGCACTGAAATGCCAGCCATGCATGTATATAAAAGGCGGGGGTAGATTTGCCATTACGCACTTCCTTATCATTTCTCTACAAGAATTGAGGTTAATAATCCCGTGGTCGAGTTCTCACTTTCAAGAGTGCGGTCGTTCCACCCTCATCAGTTGCAGAAAGTCTTCCATTAGAAAGAGGCAGTCTTTTCTTCCAACAGTCCCTTGCAGTGTTATAAATAACAACTGCACAGTTACAATCGTGCAAGCAAGATTCTCTACATTCATCCTCCGAATAATTTATCAACCTCTCATAATCTCCCAGAGGCCAGTTCACACTTTGCAACGGCTTCATATCATATACATCTTCTGGATTTTCCCTTGATCGCGCATCATCAGATCCACAACCCAGTGAGATATTAGGTTTACATCCTCCGAATTCATCATCCGGATTTACCAAGGAATACCCTTCTGGACACATACAAGTTGGCCTTGTCTTGTTCCAAACACAGTAGCTATTGTAGCCACAACAGCCGCTACCCAGATCACTTAAGATTGCAGTGCAAATGTTGCTGGGAACAAACCTCACGATTGACCAAACTTGATGGCTTCTTGATGCCCTTGGATGAGAATAAAACGTAAAAACACCATAATAATCAAGTGTAGCCCTGTAATAGTATGTACTAACATCAAGACCTGAATCATCCCATCCAAGGCCTATTTGACTTCCACCCTTTGTTTCTACATAAACATTTCCGGATGAATCGAAGACTAGCTTTGAAGCAGAGACATTAGAATTGGTGTTGACACTAAAGTACTTCGCGTACCGAGATTCTGTCGGCCACCCGATCTGACTGAGATAGAGATTACCGTTATCGAAGTACAGCTCAAACCTGCCCTTTGTGTAGTTGCTTTGTGTCAATCGGGAGGACAACTTACTGGTTAGATCCAAAGTTTGTGTTGGTAACAGCGTGTCAGTGGGATAGTTGAAACTTTGCCACAAATAAGAAGAATCAGAGGATGCCAGGACAAAATTTCCAGTGTCCAGCATTTCTCCATAGAACACGTTGTCCTGCTGCTCAGCAGTCCATATAACTTGACCTTGAGGGTTTGTGAGAGAAAGACCCTTCGGCGTGAGCTGAACTTGCGATCCTGACGATAATGGATTTGAGATGTCTGCATTCCAGATGATGGTTTCGTCAGGAATTTTAGCCAACCAGATCGCAAGCAAGAGGAGGCTTGTGTTGTTGTTAATTGGGCGAAATCCAAAAGCGAATTCACCGGAAGATGAGAACCACGAAGAATTATGATCATTAGTGGAGAGTGTTGAATTAACTGTCACTTTTCCAGAAGCCAGATGAACTGGAAGCAAGAGAAAGGAGATGAAGAAGATGCTAGGTATGGCCATGAATGCGAGTGTGGTTTTCAACGAAATGTTGCATTGGCGACATAGTTAGAGAGGGAATATATGTGGAAAATGAAGAGGAAAAATTAAATCATCGTCCTTTAGTTTTATTAGATTTCGAATATTGTCCCTATATTGTTTTTAATCTTTTTATTAGGTCCTCATATTTCATCCCTTCAATGACGTTAGTCTGTTAGTTTCCGATTCAAATTCTCTTAAGACCTGGTAATAGAGGATGACGAGGCATTGAACAAGTTTTGACAATACTTTGGGGGTACGAGGGATCAGAATCAATTAGTAAAATTATTGGGATTGAAAATCAAATTGGGTACGTGGAAGAAGCGGAAAAAAAAAAAAAAAAGATGCTGCGGAAGAAATCGTGCATTGAAGGAGACTTAAATATATTAGTCAAAGATGGAGAAAAAAATGAAGGACGAGGAGCATCGAGCATGGGGATGAACTTTTACCCGGGGGGTAGAACAAGCCAAGAAAAAAATTGTGTTTGCCACATCATCCTTGATCGGCCAAACTGACAGATTTTGATGCATTTATTAATAGAAAGACTTTTTTTTTTTTTGAATGAGTGAACTATAAAGACTCAATAAATAAAATTAAAATTACTAGGACTTGATTCAAATTCAAAATTTAATGAAAGTATAAAGATCACTCGCAGATTAATTTTTCCAAATGTTAAATTTGAAGCTATACATGTTATTTCAAAATGTAAAATTTGTTTATGTATAGAAAATAATGATTATGTAATTAACACTGTGCACATTAATTTAAGAAAAAGACTTAAATATTTTGCCTTATATATTCAATATATACTTTTATATGATCAAATCAAGATAAGTTGATTTTAATATGGTAATAATATTAATAAATTAATTATAAAAATTTATTACAGAATAAATAATCTATAATACATTGCAATATAATTTAGAGAAGAACACAACCATAATTTAAGGAAGTACGACTACGAACTATCAGAAGGTATTCGATGTTTTATTGATCAATTCTTAATTTTAAGAATTAAGGTAGCTCTGGGATTTAAAATTTTTTTAATTAGAGTCATAATACAATAACTGACTTGGCACGCGCGCATTTTAATGTTAGTTCGAAGTAAAAATTAAAGAACATTAGACATTTCGGGGGGAATTTTTGTATCTAGAAAAATAGTTCTTAATCATAATTTTACTCAAATAAAAGAATATCACGATATATAAATATAGAGTATAATATATGCAATTATATCCATCTTTGAAAGAATTCATCATGAGAGCGCAAGTATGGTTTGATTAGTGGTTCAAATAACTTTCAAAGAAGTCATCATGAGAGCGTAAATATGGTTCAAATATCTTTAATTTGGTTAGTGCAGATGAGCAACTCCATTAGTAACCTAGGCAAATATCCATCACACAATCGATCCATTTTTTTTTTAAATCAAGGTTAATTAACATTTTGTTAGGTTAATCTATATTTTCTTGTTCTTATATATAAGGTGTTTTTAACTAAATCTCACATATCAATAAAAGTTTATTATTTAGTAAAAATCACAAAAAATCATAATGATTTTTCACCTTTGTCTTTAATAATGTCACAATTAATATCATAGTAGTATTGGGTAAGGCACACAATTAATATCTTCTCTATTTTTCAAGAAAATAACAAAATTGTCTAACCACTCAAAAATATCATGACACCCTCTATATTTAAGTATAAAATAAACTTTTAAAAGTATCTTATATATAGAGATTGAGGGAATATTAATTTACTTGCGGATTCAAAATTACTACTCCCTCCTATTTTATTTATAAATTACTTCATAAAGATCAATGAGAGGTGGTTAGATTATTGATGTGTGAAAAGAAACAAGATTCTCAATTTATTCTTATTAAATGCATTATTTTTTAAGAACACCTACATTCTAGTGTAACTTTTTACTCTCTACTTATTAAAAATTATGAAATGACAAAATAGGAGGAAAGTGATTAATAATTTATATTTTTATGCAAAGTGATCTATAAAAGAAACCAAAAACTTCTAGATGTTAGCTTATAAATAAGATCAGAAGCAGCACTCTTCCATGACTGTATTCCCATCAAATCAATGTTATCAAGTTGCGTCGAAGTTTTACAAAAATATTTCTATACCCAAATTTCTTTTGATAGCAATTATAATTGCCAGTGGTTGATTATTTTGTGTATGCCCAGTCCATTCATAATTATCAGGATTAGTTAAACATACAGCTGGCAAGCAACTTCAGCGTGTGTGTATAAAATACTTGGAAACAAATTTAATGGTGGCCGAAGCCTCTTCGTCTTTTTGTTGCTTCATTTAATATCTTTCCGGCTCTTTGCTTGTTTGCATGCACGTGTAGCGTTCTTGTAATGTTTATATTTTGCAATAATAGTTAAAATAAAATTTTAATCCTTTACTGACCAAAAATTTTTTTTTAATCTTTAACTTTACTTAAAATTTTATTTTGATCTCTTAATTTTATAAAATATCTTTTCACTAATTTAATTCAAGCACCATTAGTTTTTTCACAAAAAAAATTACATTACATTAGACTTTTGAATATTGACAAGATATTCTCTAATGTTGGCTTATTAAGTTGATTTTTTTAAATAACAAAGATTGGCATAAAAATTAAACATTTAAAACTAACGATATTAGTGTGATGGGATTAAAAACATATTTTATAAAAATAAGAGAGAAAATAAAAATTTTATATAAAGTTAGAGGATCAAAAGTGTACTTTAACCAAAATTTTATTATAGAATAAATAGTTTATAAAATATTTAAAATTTTTATTGAATTTATAAGGGTTGGTATATATATAAGTTTTTCCCTTAATTTAATGCATGCTAATCAATTCAATTATACAATTTTTTAGAATATAATTTTTCTCCTTGATTTATATTATACTGCATGGTTCTATTATTTTAGAACATGTATTTTTTTTAATTTTAAAAGCTGTGCAATGCGGTTACATGAGGCTATTACTCTAGTTACTAGTATTACTTACAAATATATTTTTTAGGCCTATAAATTATTTTTAGTCAAATCAAAGGAAAGAAGATTGTTTGGCAGAGAGATAATTCAAATGTGGCTCAAATATAATTGGTAAACGGTCTTGCTCTTGCACCGCTATTTTAGAACGGAAAATCTAGGATTGGAAGAACGAGCACGAGGCCGTGAAGGGGTCCATGGAAAGTTGTTATTCTCCGCCTTTGGTTCGAGAGAACTGCTAATTTATCATACCCACATTCTAATTTAAATCCTTTAAACCGATCAATGATTTTTTTTTTATAATTCTCTTGGATTATCATTTTCAGATATACCATGCATCTATATCTCTAACCCCTTAACAAATATTTTTAAAAATTTCATTTTTTTTCACTGTCAGCCATCAGTTGTTTCGTTCTTGCTTTATTTGTTTCAGAAACACTTAATAGAATATTGAAAGTGTGGCTCACTAGACAATGTGTCCAGAGCACAGTGTATTTCATATAGTCAAGAGAATAATATATATATGTGTGTGTGTGTGTGTGTGTGTGTGTGTGTGTGTGTGTGTGTAAGTATAGTCAAGATAATACAAACAATAACTTGCAACTGTCCTATGTAGAATATTCTATCATAAACATAGAGATACAATATTATATAAAAAGCGTGGCTTTGAATTTAGTGTGTTTAGATTAAAAAAAAAATTCAACTGATGTTAGAATCAACTAAGGTTAGCAAATTGATGTTAAAAAAAAATCTATGACTTTAACATAATTATGTTTGGATACTTTTTTTTTAAAAGTCAGCTGGATAAACTAAAACTTATTTAGATGATTTCATTTAAAAGCCAATTGACTGCTTTAGTCACTTAACCCTGAACGTTAACTAAAACTAACCTAAATGTAGTACTTAGGCCAACCTTAGGTCTTCTCACAAGGAGGTAGTTTTAACTCTTAATCAAGAAAACTAGGTAAATAGATTAACCATTAGATTGAAGTTGTTACCTAATTAACTATGAATTTAAAGTGCAAACTAAGCCAAAATGTGTGTGATTAACTTCTCTTATTAAACAGGAATCCTAGGACATTGTTAATGGAAGAATCGTAGCTTTTAATTAATTATGATAGCTCACTCAACCTCTCCTCTTTAGCTCAAAAATTGATTATTCAAGACAACTATCTTAAGCAATCTAGCCTCACAATTCAATTCCTTAGGTGCCAATTACAAGCCCTTAAGTAACTACATAACTTAGAAATTAACTAAGTGTTTAGCCAAATTCCCTTCCCTAAGCCACGGCCCAAACATAATATAAGCTCAAGACTATGAAACTTAAGCATTTATCAAACATAACTAATGCAAATTTAATGCAAGAACAAGATCACTTCAAAATCACATTCATATGTAAATTAATCATGGTGGCCGAATTTCCAATGGCAAAAGGAGAAAGAAATTGATTCAACAATCATGTTTCAATACAACTATTCAAACCAACTATGAACTAGAGTCAATATGAACTACAAATTAACCATAGTCATAGTCTACAAATTAAAATGAAATAAGATGAGGATTAAGTTGAGGTTAGCCAAAGATGATATTGAATGCTCCTCTTCCATCAACTCCTTCCTAGGATTCCATTAAGAAATTAGCTAGAAGACAATATCATCATCTTACTTTCCAAGAAGCTTGACCTAGCCAAGTTGAGGTCCATGAAAATGGTGGAATCCAAGCTTCAATCTCCTTGTAAATTAGTAGGGTTTTAGTTGGCCAAGAGAGAGGAAGAGAATGGTGGAGAAATTTGGTGAATTTAATGGCTGAAAGTGGACTTATGGGTGCTGGACATGAGGTTTTGGTGGGGAGAAGGAGGAAAAAATGAATAAATGACGGACATTTAAAAGCCCATCATTTATTCTTATTTAAATTCTGTTTAGTGCCTTTTGTTTCATATTTTCTCTCACGTGCCCAATGAACTCTCCTCTCCACTTTCACATGAAATC